CCAGAGCTCAATGTTAAGTCTGGTATGCTTGCTGCTCTTCTCAGAACTCACTGTATGTTTTTGAGATCTTTCTGGTAATGTGTTCACAAAAAACCTGTCCAGAAGAGAGCTTTACATGCACTTGGTTTAAAGAAAAAATAAACCCAGCCCAGTGGACATTGTTCATTTTCATTTTCCATGTCTGATTTTGTCCCCAGGTTTTTAATTCAATCTGAAATTTTAAATACAAATTAACAATTTGTATATTTAAGAGCAGATTAGCAACTAGAAATATCTGGATCCAATTGTGAAAGAACAGTGTTTTTAAAAATGAAAAAAAAAACCAAAAACAAGCAAACACTAAGGCTTTTTTATTAAACTTTTCAGAAAACCACTGGAATGTACGAAGTTACCCAGTATACCACTACAGAGCAAGTCTATCTTGGAGAATTACTAAATGTCTGAAATTCAGAAATCAAAAAGTTAGAGGAAGAGCCAAAAGAGTAATGCAGTGTAGCTAATGAAGGAAGTTACTTGAACGTGATGAAAGCTCTGTGGCTGCAGATACATACGGTGAGAAAAAGACAATCCTACACAACATGCTTGTGTTTAAGCCTGACAGGACTACAAGGCTGCTAAAAAAAATATCAAAAGGGCCAAGAAAAGGAAGTATGTGCCCTTTGTTGAAACAATAGGATAATGCCCCCCCAACACAGTCACAATAATTTTGAAAACATGTAATACACAATAAAACTGCTAATGATATTTCTGTTCAGTACTAAGCATGTTAAGGGAAGATGCCACAGCCACTACTAATTAATTCTATTAAATGCAACAGCAAGCAGTTTCCTGGCTGGTTGCATTTCAAAAAGTGGTAAATTCCTCAATATTCAGGAATTGCTTGGAACTCACGGAATATTTATTTTTATGTTTGCATGGAGAAACCCCCAGTTAAACTAACATACAGTTTAACTTGAAGAACCCTAGCCTCAGCTTACAAAGGAGATGGAAGGAAAATTTACATGCTCCAGCAGAAGTTTAACCTGCTGCAAATGCCTCCAGAAATCAGTCTTCATCTAGTCACCACCAAAGGATTTGAACCACACAAAAGTGAGGTTAAAAGCTGACTCGGTGAAATAAAACCTTGTTATTGAGCAAGCCCAACAACATCACACCTAACACTAGGAAAAGAGAGAAAAGTCTGCATCCTGACCAACTGTCCACGAATCTAAGTTTCATCTGTCTTCTGGTGTTTCAAATGAGATATTCAATTTTGTTACCAAAACTGTGGGATAAAAAAGGGCTGTTCTACGGTTCACTAGGTCACAATAATGGAAAACATAGGAACTGCAGAAGTATCTAATGGATATCACAGCTGAAATCCAAATTTTCCAATTACCTGGGCCAGCCAGTTCAACATCAACTGAGCACATTCTCAGCATGTTCCAGTTGCTTTGACTGAAACATTAGGTGAGATGCTAAAGCAGATCTACAATAAGGCATGTGGAGACTGACACCTTGAAGGTTTTCATATTTGTAATAGCTGCCATGCTCCTCCCACCCCTCAAGGAGAAGTGTTTATGAACTGGGACAGGCAGTGCTTCCTCTGGTTTATTTTATTGATTTCCAGTTTAAGTTACTATTTGCAGTCATAGAAAACATTAACTGAGACCATATCCCTCTGAGACAAAGGCAATAGCCTGCAAATTTACCTAGTCACTTCGCAACAGGGGTGGGAGGGACCACCTGTGACACAGTAGGTTTTAGCATCAGATTGACCTTTTATGCCAGCTTAATTCATGTTGCAAGCTCAAGTCTCTGCAGCTCACCGACAGCTCCAGGTTTTAACATGGTTATCTACCCTTCTTCTATCACTCAGCCTCAGAGCTTTGGATGTCTTGAAGTATTTCCTATGAGCTGTGTCAGGGCTTTGACTCACCAACAGATGGTACAGCGTGGGAGATAGATAGATGACTGCCCCCAGCTGTCTGCCCCACCCTGCGCAGCACAGAAATGGCAGAACTGTTTGTATAGTTGCTAAACTACTGCCTCCTACAGAACAGCAATCTAACACACAGCCATCCATTCTAGATCCTCCTAGAGAAAAGGTGCTCCAAGTCAGATGTTTGTGCGGTGAAAGGAAACGCTGCACAGTTAAGGCAGTAGCTCATTTCTTCCAAGCTCTTACTTCCTCCGTGGTAAACCAAGGCCCCAACAGTGTTTTGTCAAAGTAAGTACTCACTTTTGCTAGTTACTATTTTTTATTTCTCTGTCCTCGGTAGTGTTGGGAGACCTGCTCTATCTACCATCGCCATGCAAATTACACAAAGGCACTAAGCTCTTTCCCTCTTCTTTCTCTACACCATTAGTGAAGATGCCAAGAGATACCAGCCTCATCCTTCTAATGTCAGCACAATGATTAGGAGAAAACATAGCATCCCATATCCAACAAGACAGCTTTTCATGCCTTAAGTAGGTGGTAAGCAAAGACTGCTGGAGAGGAGAGTGAGAGCAGGACTGTGTAATGAGCTTATTCAGTCAGGATGCCGTCTCCAGTAATGGAATACAACCAGAAGGGAAAAACACAATAGAAAAGAAAGCAGCAAGGACACCGCTGGGGAACAATGAAATGCTTCAACTTTTGTCAAGGGAAAGGAGCATATACATTTCTCTCTAACACCTCGCCCCTTGGCTCAGCAAACTCTGCAAGTCGGTCACGGGACAGCTAAACAACTGTCCCTTGGGGGCAGCGCCAGCTCCACACAGAGCTCGTCCTGTTCGTGAGCTGGCTCGCAAGCGGTGAAGATGAAATCAGGGACTATATTTATTCTCCCTGCCTGGTCAGATCTTTCTATAGATCCCAGGCCGGGCCCCGCTTCCTTGGCATGAATCCTGGAGACAAGTAAGCAAAGGGGGGCATAAATCAATGCCTTGGGTTCTGTCAGGAGCACATTGAACCAACCGTCCATGCTGGGAACAGGTGCACTGAAGGCAAGCAGGGACACTGTCCCGTTTGGAGTTGTGGGGGAGGGCTTGCAGGAAAGCTGCTCCCTTATCCCAGAGCCTAGCCTCAGCTTTCAAACTGCAAGTGGGTGACCTGCCTTCTGCAGCTCTCCACTCCAGTCAACTAGAGACTTCCCACTAAACGCCAGTCCATGCTACGTGAGGCCCCAGCCTTGCTGGTTTCAGCAGTCCATTCTACCTTGCTTTTACTTTTGCTCTCACTCTGTCACCAAAATCCTTCACTTTTTGCTCCAAACGTTCACTCCAAAGCTGAAGTATTTCAGGGACCGTGCAGAACGATCAGTGAATTGAGGCAGCCTTAAAACACAACTGTAATTTTCCAGCAGTAATTTTAAAAGTCACCTGTTGTGAAAATTAGCGCAACAAGCCAGTTTTGCAAACCGAGAGCAGCAAGGACCATGCCACCAATCCATGCTTAATAACTGTGGAGAGGATCTTCAAGTAATATATTAGTTTGAGTAACATTTTAAAGCAAATACTGCTTCTGAAAGAAGCAGTCCTACCCCTCACTTCAAACAAGGCTGCTCAGTCCCTTTTCCTCATACCGTCCCCTAGAGTACTGGCATAAGCAGTTGTGCAGCTGTGCAGTGAAACAAATCAGGGGGCTTATCCAAAACTAAGTTCACTTTTTTCCCCCCTTTGTGGCTGTTAGTTTTAAGCTGCATCAGTTCCTTGGTCGGTTCCACAGCACAACCACAAAAACGTTTGTACTGGCATAGAGCAGGAATTGATCTCTACATAAGAATACTGACAACTTCTGAGCCTCAGGGTGATCTGCCTTAGTCAACATATATTGCTCTGTTCAGACACAATGGTGTATGTACCCAGTAAAACCATCCATACTAGATAAGGTTCTGTAAATAAGACCTCACCCATGCCCCCATAGTGAGAGCAATCTATTCACTAGCTCAGTGAACAATGGCTCGATGGGTGGACAGAAACCTGCGGAATGACTTGTGAAGTGCTCCATCTGAAGCTTCAGGGCATGGTGCTTGCACGTTGGGGCCTGCATAGACACACAGATTCCAATTTAAAGGTAAAAAAAAGCCCCAGGCACTGACATGGTAAGGAGAGGGCTGCCTTCCATATCTGTGCTAGTGCTTTGAAAAACAGTTTTGACACCTTGGGACTTTTAACCAAATATTGGGCACTCTCAGCCTTTGGTGTGCTTTTAAGTCACAGAAATACCAGGTAGCTTATTCCAACACTGAACTAGAGAATCAGATCAGCTCAGATCAGCGTTTTTGCAGACAAAAATCAAGAGAAAAAAATTAACTGAGGAATAGGTCAAAAATCCCATTCAAAATCATGTCTAGCACCCAAAAAGTTGACTTCTGCTGCAGCTGCAAGCCAGCACTTCTCTGCATTCAGGGCTGGTTATCTAGCTAGCTGAGGAAGAACCTATAGGTGAAAGACATTCATGCCAGGGCTCCAAGAAAGCAAATTACAATGAAAGGGAGCAGCCAGAGATCCGTTTTCTGCTCCTAAGACGTGAAAAGCACAGCCAGTTAACAAAATGGTGTTTGCACACCACCAGCAAAGCCATTCGGGAGTTCAGGGGCCAAACTTCTGCTTGGCACCAGAGATGCAGAACTTTACCTGTTAGGATAACAAGAATATTGGAGACCGCAGCAAGAGATACCATGAAAGACAGACTCAGTCACAACACAAAGCCATTACATGCCATCTATCCATAGATTAGTTCAGTAGCATGCCCAACTCTGGGATACTAGAGTTACTTATTGAAGATGAGCAGTAATACTTATTACTGAAAATGAGCAGAGATACTTAATGATACTCCCCTAAAAAAGGACATCTATAATTCTTTCTGGTCTGTGAATGTTAAAATCTTCACTAATTTTCCTAAATACAACCGGAAGCAACCAACTGCATGAACTTAGAAATGCCTGAGAGAAAAGAGTTCATTCAGAACATCATTTGGTACAAAGCAAGTGGCTTGCACAAGGCATTCTGCCTCAAGTGTCCTTTCTCCTTACCATACATCTTGCCTTCGTCTGACAAGATAATCTTCCGCCGTCCACATGGTGGGTAGATGGCTAGCGCTTCCTGGAAGCTCTGCTCAATGTCCGGACTCCACACACCCTCAGCGTCATTGTCAATAGGTTTGTCCAAGGCCTCACTGCCCCCTGAGTCGTTGCTCCCCTCAGGGGAGGTGGGAGAACTCCACTCGTTGGAGGTAATGGTGCCAGCTAGAAACTCCAAGGTGCGACACGGAGAAGCAGACTCAGAACCTGTGATGACAAACACATCCCATCTGTCAGTTACAAATTCTCCTCTTCAGGAAAAAAAAAAGGAAAAAAAAAAAAGAAATAAAAAAAAAGGAAATTAAAAAAAAGTTTAAAAAACCTCTCTGAGGAGGGTTTTTACTTCAAGTTTACCTTAAATGGTAACACAACCCCATGCTTGATTTCTCTTTATGCTGAGATGAAAATCTTTTCTACAAATCCTTCTTATAAAACAGCCTGCTCCCATACCCCTTTGGCTCATTAAACATCACTTCCCAATCCTCAGACGCTATGTCTGCTTGCCTGTGTCTTTGTCTCCTAATTTCTTTCTCCCTCTGCTGCCATTATCTGTGTGTTACTTAACTTTCTGAAGCATGCATACAGGAATCCAGTCTGTGTGAAAGCATATACAAAATAAAGCAATGATGAATTATGTAGTCATCACTGAGCACTGAAATTTTCTTAGATACTGTTTCACTGGATCAGAGTTGGTAGCCGGTGTCATTTTTAACACTGACATTTCTTCTTCCCAAGGATCAGTTGCACTCCAAAAAAACAATTTCTGGAGCCAGACAGTTTAATGCAATGTCTCCCAAATCTCAGCACTATATCCTGGCAGGAGCAGAAGGCACCATGAGTAAAAGCATGAAGGCACTAGGTTGTAGGTCAAGAATCCTGAGTGCTCAGCTTGTTTTCACTGCTCATCTTCAAACCGACCTTGGGCAAATTCCTTCAGTTCTCAGTGCTCTCTGCTCCCTCATGTTTTACCACTCTCAGGCTATTAGATTTGCCACTGGGCAGGAGCAGAAACTGGTTTCTTATTGAAACTAAGGAGGCTGCTACCTTTTGAAAACTACAATAAGTTATAGCCTGCTCCTAAAGTGCAGGCTGAAGTCATTGAGTGGAGCTGCTAAAACACTCATTCAGAAAGTCTGTATGGACTTCAGACCATACAGACACTTCCAGTAAACTACACAAAAGACATAGGGCTTTTAAAGACATGGATCATTCCCCTGCCTCAATCTCAAAACTGCTAATTTACTTTTTTAATAGTTCTGTTATCTGAGCTACAAAGAGTGCTCACAAGCCACCATTTGAGAATCCAGTTAAAGAGTTCAAAATTTCCCTGAGAATCACCACATTGAGCTGGGTAGCAAGAAAATCAGAATAAGGATTTTTGTTTGGTTGGTTTTTTTTGCAAGAGCAACAGAATTATCAAACCTGTACTGAACGAGAGCAAAGAGAGAGCTCTGACCTGCCAAGTCGGACTAGCTCAGAAATATCACAGTGATAATGTAAAGGAGGACAGAAGAGAAATTTGGGCATGGTCTACGTACAAAACGAGCCAGAACGAAATCTGTGCTGTTACTGGTAAATGGGAAAAGCAGGTCCATTCATTCAAACTTGAGTTCAAAAATTCTGGGCTCATGGCTCCAGAAGCTTTTCTGACATCAACTTCAAAATCCCTTACGTCACACTCTCCATTTTAAGCCTCTCTTTGGATTTCTTGTTTACAAAATCTCCTCCAAGGCCATAATGACTATTTTTTTAATAAAAACTGTAATTATTACGAATATTATAATTCCAAAAGCTGAAGCTGTAAAGAATTGAAAACACTGGCTGTCAGTTTTGCTGCTCCTTGATTACTTTAGAAGGCAGCAGATACATATTTTACATGTCCACCAAAAACTCGGGAACGAAACAAAGATAATGCGGATCAATTTAGTAATTTCTAGACCCAGTATACTTTTTACACCAAGGTGCAACACTTTAACAAGTGCTTCACACGCACATTTAGAAAAACAAGTATATATTTCCTGTGATAATGTTTTGAACACATGAACCACTGGCACGGTCTACCACTGTCTGTCCATCCATTTCAGCCCCTGCACTAGGTTACTTCAGTCCTCTTGGCCCATGCTATGTATTTTCAGTTCTAATGAATATGGAAAGAAAGAGTAAAGTGGGAGGTGGAGGAAGCAGAAAGGGGAACTCGCACCACCAGGACAGACAGACATCTCAAGCACACAGTGAATGGCACTAAAGCAGGCAGTGTGACTTTTAAGAGGTCCTGAAATGAACAACAACAGTTGCTTTCCTTCACCAAGCATCTATCACCAACACATCCCCTTTCACTGGCAGATGCTCAGTAAAAAATTACACAGGTATTCAAGCCACTGTCTTGTTCGGGAATAAGGATAAGGGAATACTCCTTATAGAGGAGTAAGCTTTTCACAGGGGTACTCTGATGGAGAAACAGAAGCTATCTGTTACAGCCACTCTTCTTTTGATATTTCTCCAAGCATCCCTAGCCCCTGGAGGCTGTCAAGATCCTCTGTATTTAACACACATTAAAATCTCCACAAATACAAGGCACAGACTAATTTTAAGTGAGAAATGGCTAGAGTTCAGAAAGAGGCTGAGAAATGGAGGAAAGAAAGCTAAGGTGTGAGAGCAAGGTATTCATAGTGCTACCTGCATTTGGAGTTGTAAGTCTCTTAACAGCCAACAGGCTCCTCACCAAGTGAAGACACCTGTAACTGCTCAACTGTATGACTCCTAAAGTCATGGTCACTAGAAGCTACAACCTCTGCTATCACGACAAATCTCCTAGCAATGCATTCACATAGACAAAGTCATCTCCTAGGGAATATAGCCATCGTAACCATATAAAGCACCCATTTTAATTCCAGTTATTTTCATCTCCTTAATGTCCATGCCTACATAGATGAACACCTAGCAGGTGATTTAAATATGGTACACTTACATTGGAAATTAAGCAAATATATCTGAAGCATAACTATCCCCTTTCCCCCAGTCCCCCAGTTGGTGCCTTGTCACATTTTACAAGGCTTCACATCTGTACCAAGCACTTTTATAGACAAAGGAAACTCTGGGTCCTTTCTGATCCAAGCTTCAGAATAAGTGGAGAAGAAAACATGCTGTATTCAGTTCAGTGTCAACTCCCAAGACTCCCTTCTCCAAACGTAAAAGAGAAGTTGTGCCGACTTAAGCAAATGTCACTTGTATATTCAGGGAAGAGACAGAATATGTGAGCTGTATCTCACACTGGTTTAAATCAAGGGTGGTGTGGAACATAAGAGCCATGACAGAAGAAATTCTACAAATCTTGAAGTGATCAGATAAATTTGCCTTTTTTTTGATAACTTCCAAAGAAATCCCATAGGCTAAAATGGCCAAGGAAATCCTTACAACTCTATGTCTCTAGTTCAGTAAGACGCCAAGGGCTTAAAGAGCCTGCAAAGTTTTCTTAAATAATGTTGCTCAAATAGTAAGCTCCACGTGCAATCCTAGGTGATACTCTGTGCTCAGGAGCAGTGAAGTGTAACACAGGGAACCCTGGTCAGCACTACCTGGTCTGTGGGTCTCTTTGTTGGCTGAACACTTCAGGCCTTTCATTTCCTGCCTGTTGATCTGAACTCTGAACTGACTGGTAGCCAAAGTGGCTATTTATTAAACTAAGCAAAGCAAACTGTAGAGAAGCTGGGAGCTAAACTCTATGGTAAATGGCTTTATTAGTATGGCAAATTGAAAAAGCATCAGCGGAATCACTTTCCTTTGAAAAAGAAATCTGGTTAAAACCAGCATTTTTCAAACACATGCTAATATTGAACGCGTGGTTCATAAGGAAAGTTTGAATAATATTTATTAGTAACTATTTTAACAAAATACAAATTTTTCAGTTAGCATCTAGCTTTTAGTTTGCTTCTGGTTTCCCATTCAACCAACAGTAACTACACACCAACATCTTCACCAACAGATAAATTTAATGGTGATTTGTATTGCTGAGTATCCTACTATCAATAATATTCTAGTACTTGCAAATTGTTTTGGTTTTTTTTAAGTTCTTCCTGTGGCAGAGCTTGCAATCACCAAGTTTTCTTCTGATGTGGAGGGAATTTCATTTTGAAATCACTAAACAGACATCCCAGTTCCCAGGCATGCTCATACAGTTCCATCCCCATCTGAATCTCCTTGCCCGGTACAGTTCTTAGGATCAGAGGAGTCTCAGGATGTTGTCCTGTTCTCATAACAGGAAGTTTTGTCACAGGTCCCAGGTTTGGAGTTTGTTCTCTTCATATTCCCTCAGTTTGAACTTACACTCCACTTCTTGGCTCTTGTATTTTATTAGTGTACCTTACAGTTGTTCTTATTCTGATCCTGCTCTTATTTTACCGAGATGACTAACTACGTTTCTGGGGTCCAGTCATGGATCCTCTCCTTGGATCAAAGGCATAAGCACCTCACAGCACTTCCACCTCCTGTAACTCCACAGTAATTTTACTTCCTTCTCACGTTTCCTCCCTCTGTCTAAATAACTGTTTCTTATTCACTCTTGGCCCCTGTTCTTCTTTCTGCCATGGCCCATCTCTTAATGAGTCAAAAAAAAGAGCAGACTTTGGGGTCAGAGGAAAGTAAAAACACGGAGAAAGCACAAAGATCTTTCAGCTCCAGCAGCTTTCCAGCAGCTTCGGTTTAACTGTTCTGATGCTGGTAATTTCAACACCAACTCCTTCCTTTCATGGTATCTCACTGAGATGCAGAAATGCTGCAGGGCTAGACAGCTGCTGAGAGCACTTCAGTGAGGTCTCACTGACAGGGAGCACATCTTTAACAGATTCCCTGGCCTGACACATCTGCTTTCTAATATTAATCCCTCAGTCATTACTGTTGGTAACAGCTCCCTCTTACGTGTTTGTAGCAGCTGCTCAATACAAAATCATACTTTCTTGAGGATCTGAAAAATTGCAGCCAGCTGTCTCCAGTTGTTCAGTTTTCTTAGAGCTGCTCTGTCCAAAAGATTCTCCCCAGTCCATAGCCACCCCCTCTCCTGCTGGAATTGAAACTGAGCAGGACACACTAGCCAGAGACATCCCTGCTCACTCACCCCTCCCCAGGCTGGAACGCTTGCCAGCACAGCCATGTGGAGTCTGGCAGAACAATTCCCCTTCTGCTTCTGAGCTGGCTGCACTGTGAACAAGTTTTAGGAAGAAAGTACCTTTATCCTGGGTCTTATTTAATGGAACTGGAAGCTGTGGGGGTAGGGACTGCTTCCCATTACAGGTATTCCTTTTTATCATTGTAATGTAAATAAAATAAAACAATTCTGGTATTCACTACCTTAGCAACAGTACTTCACTACTATAGCAGCAGCATATCACTGAATCACAACATCTTCATTTATGACCAGCACAGAATTTCAGAAAAGAATGATTTTGGTCAGAAGAGAAGACATCCTGCTGCTCAAACCACAACTCTAGAGTAGTTTGTGACAATAAGAAAATCCGGAAACAACACCAATCAGTCAGTTACTTCCATCCTGAACACGCCAACAAATGAGCTTACGCAATGCAGTCATACAAAGAGATTTGCGTCGAGGAAAGCAACAACTTGGAATACTACAGAATCTATTGCGCAAGTTATGATGGAAGACAGCATTCAAACTTACCAAAGGAAGAAGTCCGGGAAATTCAACAAGCCACTACAATAACAGCCCAGTTCCTCTGAAAGAGAAGAATGAGTGCAATCAGTAGATGAGTAGCTCCAAGGGGGTGGTGCAACTCAAAGACTGCAGGGAAAAGAAAAAAAAAACCACACTGGAAAGGGAAAAGGTGGGAAAGCAGCTAATCAGCAATGAGTAAGGTCTGTTAAAGCCCACATGCAAGAAAGGACAGAAGTCATGAATGTGTTTACAGGGTCTCTACAGAGCGAAATAAAGATGCAACCGCAGCAAGACCAACTAGCACTGAACTACACCTAGGAAGGTAACAGAACTTTTGCAGCATCAGCCAGCAACCCATTGCTTGGGCTCCTCAGGAGCTGTGCTCCCATCACAAAATCAGCCTGGAGGGAGCACCACTCAGCTTCAGCAGCTAGTGGGGATGGGTGGGTGCAGTTCACTGAGCCTTTGGAGTTGAGCTTCGCTCAAGCACTCAGCAACACCTTCGCCAAATGGTGAACCAGGCTGCAATCCCGCTTTTTTCCCTGGGCCTCCTGCAATGCTGGCTATCTTCTGTGGACATCTCTGTGCACCCAGCATTACCACAGCAATGCTGCTTAATCCTGTGAATAAAACCAGCCAAGGTCTTACTTGCTGTAGGTGAAGCAAAAGTTCTGAACAGGCAGCAGCACTAGGCAAGGAAAACAGAACTTTTATTTCTCTGTGTGTATTGGGCAAGGTAACATAATAATTACCTCTGCAGGCTGCACTGTGAGATTTTTGTCTCCATCTCACCACTGAGTAAGACTGGTTTACAAAGAAAGAAGCACTACTAGCCTCAGATCATACCCAACGTAAGCGCGAGCTCCAGCCCAACGCTTACATAAAAGCAAGCTTGGTCTGCTTGCTACACTGAAACTGCCTGCAGCAGCTGCTGTTCCAAAGGTAGCCCAGTTCCCCAGCAAAGCAAAACAACACTCTTAAATGATTGCAGTAGCTGAGCTCTGGCTGAAACAGAGGGAGGATGCAGTGACCAGCACAGTGGTGTAAATCAAAACAAGCAGAGTATAGAACTTCTATCAGTGCAGCCCTGGATAATGCAGTCAAACAGTATGTGATTAGATAAGGCTGTGTGTGGCCTTGCACACCATCCAATCAGTTACATTTCTGATAAAGGAAACAGCACACAGAGCCTTTGCTGCCCTAAGGAGGGGAGGAAAGAAATACACAACCCAACAACAAAACCCAAAGGCTGGTTCTGCTCCCTCTAGTTTAGGGGTGGCCAACCTGGGGATCGATCCTGAGACACAGGCAACTCATGCACAACTCCCATAGACAGGTTACATCGCAAGGCCACTAGCCTTGGACTGACAAAACGATCGCTGCGTGATCTACATCTCAGCTGGGCGAGCACAATAAGCTAGCAAAGGCAGCAGAGATTGACACTGCCAGGTTGCCCTGGGACTGAGACACACAGTGGCTGGCCCCAGACCTCAACGGAACAGTGCAATTCCTGGGGAGTCACCGTTATCTCACATGTGGGAATGCGTTTCAAAGCTTCCTAAACCAATGAAGGCTGTGGCAGGGTGAAAATGGTTACCCAACCTTGTGCTAGCAGCAGCAGTCACCAGGAGTCATTGTTCCAACAAGCACAGAGCTGGTTAGAAAGCAACGAACCAGGAGAAAGTCCAGTAATCACATCTCTTTTCTACCACAGAATCACCGGCAGCATCAGCTAAGGTTTAAATCACAGCTGTCCCTTCAAGTATAGACAGGTGTAGACGCTGACAGATTAAAATTACTCGAGTCTTACCAAACCAAGCTAGAAACAGAAATAAATAATAGTATTTTCCCAAAGAATATTATTCGCTTCATTATTAAAGGAGAGGGAACCTTTAATGTCAACCTAAAAAAAGCCATGCTCCTTACCCACTGAAAGTCAGTTGTTCTGAAAAACCTCACCAGACTCAAAAGCCTCCAATTTATCTATGGAAAAAAAACTATAGCACAAAGTGAACCACCTAAGTGAACCACCCAATGACAAAATCAGACTGTGGGGAAAATCCAGACATTAATGTCAAGACAAGAAAAGGTTAACTTTAAAAGTGATTTGCAATTGCAAGTGGTGTAACTTCAGAAGGGCTCATGGTTTTCCTTTGGAAACCAGTCATCTTCTGAGCCTTTCCTTACCAGTAACGGGAAACTGAGACATTCATAATGCCCATTTTATGGTACACAGATTGAATTCTTATTTCCTAATCCTGCCTCCTGTTCCTGACATCTCTTAACCTCTTGTCTAGGACTCAAGGGTAGATGTCCCAAAAAACCCCTCAGAACTGTGACACACTTAGCTTCCCATGACACCAAAATGCCACATGAACTCAGACAGAAGACAGATATTTCCAAATCTCATCCAAAGCAGTGAAAATTTTCAAGTCCAAGACTGTAGCCAGACTTCAATAAAAGAAAGAGCTGAACCTGAAGCTAAGAGATTTACAACAGTACATATATAGAAGCGCTGATCACAACAGCTCGGGAACACAGTCAGATTTCTGCATCTGCAGTGCTTGCAGGCAGTCTATGTTGTGGGCACGACCTATGCGGCCAGGGCTAAGGCCCTCACCAACGCCTCAAAACAAAAGCAAACCACAAACTGTCAGAACAGGTATACAAAATGGGACCTCAAGTCAAGCACCCAATTAAGCACGTGCCTGGATTTTAGTAGAGTTAGGAGCTTACAGGTGTTTGATACTTTTGCTAAGCAAATGCCTAAGCAAAGAACAACCATGAAACATCTGCATTGTATGAATGAATCCTACTCACAGCTACCAATCAAGCTTCACCCTCTTGGGCTATTCCAACTCAGTTTTGAAATACACGCTCCACCTAGAACATCTGTAAGGTGAACATTCACTGCTTACACTAAGACGATCACTTCCTGAGGGCTTACACTGAGGAAAGACCACCAGATTTACTTTTACCTAAAATACCCTAGCAAACAGACAACAGCCATTTTAGCCAGACACCAGTTCTCCTACAACTTTGACAAAAGAGACAGTAAAGCCACCCTCAACTCGGACTAGTGTAATTTTGAGCTCAGAACTCTTCCCTCTCAATTGTCGCATAAACATATTATCCTATCCAAACTGCTGATCATGCAGGGATTATGAGTACCTGCAAATTGCAAGTACAACCGCAGCCCTCAAACTGGAATCACTAAGCAAAAAAAAAAAAAAAGATAAAGAAATGACAACACCTGAAAAACATAGGCCCCCGGATACTACAGGAAAGCAAAAAAAACACTGAACTCTTTGCCCTTCCAGACCCTTCTTGCCAGGAAGGTCAACAGGTTATATACCTTCTGCTGGATTAATCTACAGGAGAACAAGGGCAGCTAGCCAAGCAAAACTAGATTCTTAAAGGGACACAGCTAACAACAAACTTGACTCCAGTTTTTACAATGCGTTCTTACAGACAAAACCTGTGACCAAGAAGAGTGGTAAAAAGATAGCTCCTTCTCTATTTTTCAGTTAGCTTACTGGGTGAATAAAAACAGAGATTTACACTGTTTCTCCTGCACAGTCATTTTCTTCTGTTCATGTAGATCCTTCACAAAGGAATGGGGGTGGGGAATCCAATGGGATTTTACTTATTTTTATAAAAATAAGTCAAAGAGCAGGTACTTGGAAGAAAATCTTCTTATGCAAACCTCTGGTTTACACCTGTTTTTTTTTTTCCCAAACTGACAGGATTTTCAAACCAGCAGAACCTCTCTAAATCCGGCTAATCTGGTATCAGTGAGCCTTATTTCAAAGAGTTTCTATGAAGAAGTATGATCAAGTAAAACGAACTTAAAATACATCAGCAAATCCTTCCTTTCCATTTCAGCATACACATGCTCAGTGCTCTCTTGACTTTTCCTCCTTCACTTAAAAGTAGTTCTGGTTACAAGAGATTAGACTTTGCCTGGACATCTGTCATTAATGCTGTTTGAAGGGAGGCACTTTGAGGACTACCCTAATTTATTTTCTCTTTGGCAACAGCAAAGCAGATCCTTCAAAGGCTTGTATGTAGGCTCTGAAAGCCACTGGCACTCATGCCTCAGAAGTACAGCAAAGTAAAATACCTACCCTTTGGCAATCACACTTTAATGAAGGTAAGAACAAGGTAATTATAAGCCTACAATGGAACAGAAAAACAGAGCTAGTGACTCAGCCAGTGGCACCAGGAACTGGAAAACCTGCCCCTCCCTAGCAGGAAAACTCTAATTCATATGGTGTTAAAAACAAAAGGGAGTGACTGCATCATCTCCAGAGAAAGGAGGACCCGAGGGGCAGGAAACAACAACAATAAAACCCACCTAAAACCAAACACCACCAACAAAAAACACACACACACACACAAAAAAAAAAACACAAAACAAAAAACCCAAACACCACTCAAGCTCCAAAAAAAAAAAAACCCAAACAAAAAATCCCAAAAGAACCAAACCCATCACCTCCAAACCCCCAAAACTCCTAATTTCTAGTCTCACACCTTTTAATGAGCTCCATGCATGCAAATTCTTGACTTTTTACGAGGCTCTACAACGAGACATGTTGGCTATTTATTTAGCATGGTAGTAGGCATAAGACAGAAGTTGGAGAGAGGAGCATAAACTACTGTGAATCTTGATAAATTTGGTTGTTCTTCAAAGTAAGACAGAATTTCCATGAAGTTTGCAAACAAAAAGATACAGTGCATGATGTGAGAGGTTTAGATTTAGAACAGCATTTACTACTCTCCAAGGAAATCACAGCTGAAAAATTACTTCAAATTGGCTTTGGAGAGTATTGATCATATTATTAGAAAGTTACCAGATTCAAAACCTAAATGTAATTATATATACCAATGGAACCAAAAGGTACAGGGGGCATCTACTGGGCTGCTTCAGGGATCTCTACCAGTCCAGTTTTCTCTAACATCTTAGAAACCTAAGACTGAATAAAGGGAATGCAATGAAACTTGCAGGTGATACAGAATGAAGTTTACAAACACCAGTGAACAGAAACACTCAAAGGGATTTAGACAGCTCAAAAACAAACAAGAGAAGGAAGGGGGACAAATAAGACCATGCGAAAATAGCAACGCAAAGAAACTGAATAAACAATGAAACAAGCAGTGAAAAAAAGAGATAAATGAAGGAAAAAGCCCTGCCAGAAGCAGGAGCTAAAGACATACAAGAGTGAGAATGCTGAATAAATGAGAGCTGTCTGCAAAGCAAATGCTTCTACAGAATGACCAATGTAACTTTTGTCTGCCTATGCTCAGATATCACTCCAGGCAACAGAGATGAATCACCTCCAACATGTGGAATATCAGATCTCATTCCGCAAAACTAACAGAGATAAACTGAAGACTATAAAAAACAATCATTAGGCCTAGAACAATAGATGTTGAAAAATGTTTAGTCTCATTAGTAGCTTGTAAGAACCTGGAAGGTGCAAAGGCAGAGTAAGTAATCGTTTCACAGAAATACACACCAAGGCAGTAGAGCAAAAGAACTTTTCTAATAATGAAGTACACTGGGCAATGCAAAACTTGCCCAAGAAAATTATTGAAGATCCACTGCACAGCATTTGGGGAAGGAGCAGGGCACAGAGGACAAGGGACACAACAAAAAACAACGAGTGAGCAAGGGACAAACTGGAGCTATAGGGAAAGCGTAACAGATCTTTAAAAGAAAGCAACAGTGAATTTTTGCTTGCTTAAGATACAGCCATGGCCAGATAAGACAGAAAAATAATTTCATTATCACAGGAGCAACTACAGGCATGGTCCAAGGAACTATTTAAGGTGTGAAAAGATGGCAATATTGCTAAGGAAATGTCCATTCATCCCCACTCCCCATCCCCTTGTCGTTGCACTAGCTTCTCCAAACGCACGAGCATTTACGTGACCACATGATTCACTGGACTGGAGAACAGAGATGGCTGATCAGCCCCCTGGCCTGGGTCCATAAACAGCAGTGCCAATACCCATGCCAGTGACAAAGGAAAGGAGTGTGACAAATATGGACAGTTTGAGGCTGTGCAGACAGGTTCTGTCTACAATAGCGGCAGCCTGAAGTCTTTGTGGACCCATCCCTTGAGTTATGTTGTGATGGAACCAAGAACTGAAAGATACAATCAGAAACAGACATATAATGCTGAGGAAGGAAACCTGTGAACAAGTACAATGTTGCTCCAAACAACTCCAAGCAGAACCTACTGGAAACTGTAATTCTCAGCAACTTTCTCAAAACTTTACTCACTGTATTCGAGCTCTGTGAAACAAATACCTGAGTAAGAAAACCAACAGCAACTGTGATTTTACTTTAAATCACAAGGAAAATTTGGCACCATGGAGCCCTTTTTCTCTTCACAGCTTGACAGTACTATTTTCACACAATTTTCCCACAGTTGTTCTGTAATACGCTAACATTACAACACTTATCACAGCAATAACCTAAAATACTTCACAGCAATCAGTAAAACTCATTTTAAAAATCCAAAAGATGTAGCAGGAGCCAGGACAGTGGAGAAATTTCTAATGCTCACTCTCACGAACAATAACTGCTCCCAAGATCACCTCCAAGAGGATATGAACAAGGAGCTGACTGTCCAGTTTAGAGATGATAGACTTTGTCACATGCTCGAGTTGAGGGAACTATCCAGACTGGGATTTAGGAAAACCCTGTAAGGTCACTGCATCCTGGCTGACTGCCCTTTGGTCTGCTATCACAAGTTCCAAAGAAAACCCTAGACTCCATCAGCATCCAACAGCCCCGATAAATAACCCCCTTTGTATTATCTACAGCAGGATCCAGGTTCTTCTCTGTCATCAGAAAAAGCTATCAAGACCAAAAGGTGTTAACTGCACAGATGATAGAACAGCAGTTTCAACCCGGACCTAGCACTTGTTATATTCCCAGTCTGTTATCCCCCATGTTCTGTTCCTCCATGTTACCCTCTGCCATGTCCTACTGCCCACTTCGGTCTGTAGAAGAACAATAAAACCTCTTACATCTACACAGACAGATGGACAGACAGATGAACGAATGCTCTGCTCACTTGCACACAGTGCAATCAAAACTAGGGGAAGCCGATCTGAGTAATAGGAAACAAGAAAAAAAAAAAACAAAACAAAACACAAAACAATCCCCAAGTCTCCTTCCCTCCCACCCAGCCCCCTGCACTTGAAAAGCGCCTTGCGTTGTTTATTTGTAGAGGATTTGCAGAACTTAACTCCTAAGGTTAGAAAGTAGCATGAATGTAACTTCAGGTTAAACAAAAAGCGTAGATCAGTTGTGGTTGTTTCTGGTTTGTTTGGTGGTTTCTTTTTGTTTGCTTGCTTTAACATATATGACCCTTCACCATAAAGTACCTCACAGAAGTCTTTAAAATACACTGAGCTACACTTATTCCCCTTCTACAAAAAAAGCCTCATCTTTAGCATCCCATGCAAGGAATTCTTTAAGCGTAATTACCTACGTGGAAAATTACTTGGAGAAGATTTTTGTTTGGGTTTCGGTGGGGCTTTTTTGCTTGGTTGGCATTTTTTGTGTGGCTTTATTTTTGTTTTCAATTTAAATCTTTTCCAGAGGCATGCCATCAAAACTCAACTCTAACTTTCGAATAACTAACTGCTCTGGGAAAACAGCATTTCTCATCTTTAGTAAAAGCCCTGTAACAACTCACATGCCTTCTCACGGATGGGTTTGCTTATGATTTTCGTTAGTTTGCTTTTCTCCATAATTTACATCAGAATTTATTACAGGGAGCAGTGATCCTCCTCTCCACCCTTCCCAAGAACAGCTCTACAAGGGGCCCAGAAGCTCATTTTTTCCCCATTAGAAGTGTTAGCAGTTTTCAGCCGATGCCACAAGCAACCGAGTTGCTCAAGTCCCAGCGCCAGCAACCCCTCTCCGACGGAGGAACGCGCCGGAGCCTCCATTGAGGATGTTCTATCGCTTCCTTTGTATAGCTGTGCCTCCTCTGTCGCACACGATCGGCTCCAAACACCCCCCCTTTCAACCCTGTCTCCCACACGCATCCGTACCCCTTCACCCCGCGCGAAAGCGGTGCTCGTGAAATAGCATGTCCTGACCTGAGCAAGGCGAGAGCGGCTGTTGTTCCGTAGGGACAGCGGAGACCCGCTCCAACTCCTCCTTCTGCTCCAGGACTTTCTGCCAAAAGAGCAGACGACGGCTGTTCCTGCGCGCCTGCCCCTCGCTCCCGCCCGATCTCCACCCCCGAGCCCGCAGGGGTGGGAGCGGGGGCTTGGGAAGGGGCCGCGGGCGGGTCAGCTCCGCGCTCGGCAACGCCACCGCCGAGTCGGAGGCAAGAGAAAAGTTGCCGGGGAGCCCCAGCGGCGCCCGGGGCGGCTCTGGGATCGGGTGGGCCCTCGGGACTCCCCCTTCCCTTGGTCGGGGACAGCGAGAACAATACCGGGCCGGGCGCTCCTGCCGGCCGGGTGTCCGAGGGGGGAGCTCGGAGCGGCAGCCCGGGTCGGCGGGAGCGGAGGCACAAAGCGCGCACTCACCTGAGGAGCGCGGGAGCGGACGGCGGGACGGCGAACCCGGGCGGCGGCAGCGACGGCCGCGGTCGGGCAGGAGTTCGGAAGGAAAAGGGAGGGTTTTTATTTCCCGTGGAGTTTGAAAGGAGGAAGTGAGGAATGCGAGGAATGAGAGTTGGTATGAAATGAACGCGGCCGTGGGAGGGGACTGCCGGCTAGCGCAGGGGCTGAGACGGGGCTAGGGAGGGGACTAGCGGGGAGGGTGGCGAGAGAAGTGCCGAGGCGGAGTTAGGAACAAAACCCAGCGGAGCCGGGCGCTCCCTGCCCGGGGACCGCGTGTGACCGGGGCGGAGGGAACGCCGGCAATAGCCGGAAGAGGGGGCCCGCGGGGGAAGGTCGGTCCTCACAAGGGGAGCGGAGGAAGGAAACTCCGAGCGGCTGGAAGCGGGGAGCGGCCAGGACGCCGCCGCCTCCAGGCATCGGCGCGATGCCCTGGCGGGGAGAGAAGCTGGAGTTCGCGTCGAGGCCGGGCCGGCTTCAGCCGGGGGAAAGAGCCCTGGAAAGGCCGCCGCTTGCCTGGTCCTTTCCCAGGGACGGGACTCCGGCACTGAAGGGATTCGCTAACCCCTTCGAACAAGCGTGGCCCGCCGTCAGCACTTTCTCGAAGCCCCTTAGGGATGTGATGTGATTTCCAGCCAGCATCGCTGCGCCGCTGCAAAAGGAACCAACCCCAACACCGCAAAAGTGGTTATAACAGTTTAACTGCCCCGAGAGCATTCCAGAATGTAAACTACTTGCCTAACAGCAAAGGGGTGTTCTCTGTGGCTCTTCTCAGTCTCACAGGGAAGCTACTCCTTTCCTGTCCATTCACACCGGAATGCCAACATGTTGCACTAGAAAATGCTGATACAAAGCTGAGAGTTGCACTAGGGTTGGAAAGCCACGTTCCAAAACCAAAAGCAGTACTAAACCAGCAAGTAAATGTAACGATATCCTGTCAGCAGCTCTGGCAGTGCTGCTACACCAACAAAATAAACTTTTTCAAGTGCCCAACAGTAGACTTTGCCACAGGTTCCTGGTGTGCACATAATTACCTGTGGTAGAGTTATGACACACTTGGTTTTGTTTAAAACTTTGAAGTTCAATGAAAATACTGAAGAAATTGAATAAGGAAATTCTCAGCTTTTGGTAAGAATGCAAAGCTGAAATTGTTGTAACTCTTTTCAAGTTGCAGAGAAAAAACAGGAGCTAGATGTGTCCTAAAGTCTCGGAAACTAAATAGCAAAACCCATTAACTTCATAACCTTAGTCTTGGGATTTGGAAGGACAACTCCAAATTTGCCATACGGTCACAAGTTACTCCTGGGGGAGATTCCAACTGGACACAAGAGGAAATGTCACTAATCAGCCACTGCAATAACCTTCTCATGGAAGTGTTGGACTCCCAGACACTGTCAAGATTCAGCTGGACAGGGTGCTGGAACATCTAGTCCAGGTCATGCTTTGCCTAGAAGGGTTGGACCAGATGATCCTTGAGGTCCCTTCCCAACCTGGGATTCTGTGATTCCACTTTTTCTATTTTTCTTCTTTCTGGCAGTGCTGAATGTAACTGATATTGATGAACCTTTTTAATGCGCAATTACTTTTCTTTGGAAGGCAATGCAGCAATATTTTATGAATAATTAAGATTTTAAGAAAAAAATATGATATAGCTGTAAGAATACATATTATATATACAGTGCAAGTATGAAGTTACAGAAGACAACTATTTTGTGTTTTTTCTGTTTGTTATATAAAACCCTGCAGCGATCTCATTTAGCCACTGTTTCTACTAAGCCGTATTTAAAAATAGGTCATTTCACAAAAAACATGTATTAAAGGTAGCTCATTTCTCATCACACCTGTTCACTATGAATTCGAGGCCAGGTCTCATGATTATTTGACTAACAGATTGTTTTGCTCCCATTTCCCTGCAGAATCAACATAGCTCAAAGAGAAGGAATTGAAGCCTATTCCTTCCTGTGAATCATCACACAAATTGTTTGCAGGACTCCATTCAATTGCAGATGAAAACCTGCTCAAGAGAACAGAGGGGGTTTGGAGGTGGTTTTTTGGTGGTTTGTGGTGTTGGGTTTTGGTTGATGTGGTGTTTTTTTTTTTGTTTGGTTTTGGTTTTTCCTTTTTTTTTTTTAAATTTTATTTTTCCTTTACTGGTGGTACTGTGAAAGCAAACTGTTCTGCTCAGAACAGGAAGTTGGCAAGCTGGTGACACCTAACTCTCCAACCCGATCCATACTCTGAATGATTTTGATGTGCAGCTTTTAAAATATTGGCTCACACAAAAATATATTACTTTCCCCTTAATAAATAAAGGGATCAATTCAATTAAGCATTAAAAAAATTAAATCCCTTGGTTTTGTCATAATTTTAAGCTGTTTTGTTGAGACAGTGCAATTGTTTGCCTTGTTCAGAAATGTTAAAGTGAATAATCACAAATTGCATCTTCTCGAATAAATAACTAATTTATGTATTCTCTAAATTAAATGTTACATTGCCAGAGCAGGTTCTGTTATAATAGTCTTAAGTGAAGTTTGGTGAAGTTAGTTTGCTTCTGTATTTTTCTCCCATTTGGGGATCAAAGAAGTGATCTCCAGCTTCCAATGAGGAAAGAATAATTCCATATAAACACATTAAGAGACAGAATGAGAAGACAAAAACTCTATGCGCCACACAGTTCAAGAGATACAACAGTAACAGTGGGTAAAGGTGCTCTGCCTTCTTTCATGCAAGGGCTTTCAATTCTTACCACTTTACCACTGTAGCAGGCTGTTCTCCCTGTTATTAAGGAAGCCCTTATACCAGTGTTGCTTTTCTACTCATCCTCATAACTATATGCAGGGCCAAATCTCTTTGCCCTAGCATAACTTAAGCATCTTTCTGAATTCTGGTTTCAGCAGTAGTTCCAAACTGAAGTTACATACAACAGTTTGACATTGTGGCTGTCTCTGGCGAAGAAGGAATCTTTCCAGAGTTCAGTTTCTCAAGACTTTGCATAAACTTTTAGCTCTTGACCTGTAAATCACGGGGAAGGCTTTGCTTGTCTTCCTTACCAAGAAATCAATGTCAATTGAGAGATCTATAGAGCTGTTAATACCAAGTCAAGGAGCACACTGAGTAAAACTTCAGTGAGAGTGGGACTGACCCCTAAAAGAGCAAGAAATTACTCAGTTTTATGTTTGTGAGCCAAGGATCTTAGAGCAGCCTAGTAGCTGTTTTAGTCTGCTAGATCTGCTTTTAGGATTCATATTGAACAGTTTAATATGCTTCCTTCATTGTTGCAAGATCTCTTTGGGATTTCAAGAGTGTTACATTTGCACATACTCAACTAATATTACTGTACTAAGAACAAATGCCTAGCAGTACTTCCTGCTCAGTTTTCTATCCCAACTAAATCTCACTTGGCTCAAATGGAACTAGGGGGAAGAAAAAAAAAAAAAAAAAAAAAGAGGTGCATGAAGAACAGGGCTTACACATCGAGAGCTGTGTTAAGTTTCAGATTATCAGTCCCACCATATCTCCTCTTACGGAAGTTCACACATCTCCCAGTGGAAACAGGAAAATATAATCACTTCAAGTTGGTGTTCCTCCTAGCCTTGTATTATTTCAGTTCTTGATTCAGAAATACACGGTACTGTACTTCAAGAGTACAATGGGTTCAGATGGAGGGTATGAAAATGCATAATGAACTATTTCAAAAGCCCTAACCGGATACTGGAAGAAACATTAAAAAATACGGGGCAGAGAAGTGCAACTAGCTTACAGAAAAAATCAAATGGAAACCAAGAACTATACAGGAAGAACTGCTGCTGAGAAGAAAACAAAAAATAGAGACTAACTTTACATTTATCCCCAGCCTTCTAAGTCTATGAGGAGAAAAAAAAACCCAAACCAAAAAACCCAAACAACATAAAAAGAACTGAGAATTACAAAGGAAAAGGAGGAGTAAGAAGGGAGATGACATGAGATATGACAGGAAGAAACTGAGGTAGTATCTACAGGAGGAAGAAAGAACACCCATAAGTGACAGAAAAATTCTACCAAAAAACTCATTAAGAATTATAGATTTTTTCAATATATAAATTAGTTTATTTTCATTTAGATATAAAAGTTATAAATACAATTCATGTAAAACATTATCTGATAGAAGAGCACAGAATCAGTTAATCTGCCTGAAACCAGAGGCCCTGGCCCTGCTAGGATCATTTCATGTCAACAAATAGCTTGAAGACCCACTGCTGACAAACTTAACTGAAAGGATGAATAAAGGGACGCTATGGTGGCCTTCTGAGCAGAGAGAAAATCATCTTGAATTCAAAGTTAGCATTCTGCCTTCAGGTCACCCCAAACTAACATAAGGCAGTTTCTTTCACACAGACCTAGTCAGAAAAATAATCAAGATCGGTAACAAACTGACTTAGTTTTCTAGATGGACAAAGGGAATGCAAAGTCTCTGGCAAAGAACGCAGAAGAGCATAAATGGAAAACAAACACTGTCAGGTCTTGACTCCAGCCTGATGAGTACATGAAGGCACAAAAGAGATACAGGAGTCAAGTTCTCTTCAGGGCAGATCTGCTGATGAGTTCATCTCAAAATGATGGTTCACCAGCTATACAGGCATCTGAGAGATGTGAGCTGAAGTTCTCAGCATCACTTCATAATTTACAGTTAAATACAGAGTTTGCACATGATTACCATAGTTGGTTGGTTGGGTTTTTTTTCCCCTGGCAGTATCAGAAAATGTCTTCACAAAGTTTCATTATTTTGAAAGAGCAAGTGATACCTACCACTTCAAAGACTCCAGAGCCCAAAGCAATGAATCTGTCTCTCTGGAGCTTGAAACAGAGTTAATCTGCTGACAGTAGCAATATCCAAAGATGGAGAACATCTATTCTTGTCTTGATAGAGGGATTAAGTTTTCTAGGATCATCATGAACATACATAATGGCCACAAAACAGGAAAGATAGTAACTGTTCTCTGCTTTAGTACACATGTGCACACTATGAGGCTTACATGTCACAGCGTGCAGCAATTCACTCTGATGAATCAAGGCCATATGAATCAAGAAGCATTCCATGCTGTGACATACAGTCCCCATACTGTATATCCAGCATTAAAAATGGAGCACTGGAAGGGCACATTGCAAAGCCCTGTGATACATTAGTTATTTTTTTTAAACTTACTGATGCCTTT